ACTGCCCCTCTTTTTGAACCCAAGGCCTGCCTCGCTGGGCCAATCCGGGCGGAAGACATTGTCAGGTGGGGAGTTTGGCTGGGGCGGCACATCTGTTAAAAGATAACGCAAGTGTTCGAAGATGAGCTCAACGAGAACAGAAATCTCGTGTGGAACAAAAGGGTAAAAGCGTGGCCTATCGATCCTTTAGACCTTCGAAATTTGAAGCTAGAGGTCTTAGAAAAGTTACCACAGGGATAACTGGTTTGTGGCAGCCAAGCATTCATAGCGACATTGCTTTTTTATCCTTCGATGTCGGCTCTTCCTATCATTGTGAAGCAGAATTCACCAAGTGCTAGATTGTTCACCCACCAATAGAGAACGTGAGCTGGGTTTAGACCATCGTAAGACAAGTTAGTTTTACCCTACTGATGATAGTGTCGCAATAGTAATTCAACCTAGTACGAGAGGAACCATTGATTCGCACAATTGGTTATCGCGCTTGATTGAAAAGCCAGTGGCGCGAAGCTACGTGTGCTGGATTATGACTGAACGCCTCTAAGTCAGAATTTGGGCTAGAAGCGACGCATGCGCCCATCGCTTGATTTCTGACAAGCAGTAGGGACCTTTTGGCCCCTAAAGGCATGTGTCATTGTCTAAGCCTTTGTGACGGATGAGTCTCAACGGCCGCCTTGTAACGTAATTCCTACTGAGCAATGGGTAGAATCGTTTGGAGACGACTTAAATATGCGATAGGGTATTGTAAGTGGTAGAGTGGTTTTGCTGCCATGATCCACTGAGATTCAGCCATTCGTCGCTCCAATTCATCCCTCCCCACACAATAAACAAATTTATTTCTTTGAAGTGTCATGGAGGTTATAAGACATGTAATGTTAAGTGTTGATGATTGGACATGCTCCAATGCAAGCCTCTAAAATGCATGCATGAGTTGGGTTGGTATGCGTTTGCGTGTTAATGAGAATGATGCATGGGTGGGAGCATGGCCTGAGCACTCGTGTGCATGCTAAGGCCTATGGGCAAGGCGTGCTCATGGGCGCCAATGTTCGCCCTTGTGTGCGCCAATGCTGGTCCTACTCGCCAGTGCTGACCCTCGACAAGGTACCGTGCTTGCTGCCGCTTGCGCGCGCACGCGTGCCTGGTTGGCCCCGTGCACGTGTGCCCTACATGACCTTGAGTGCATGCGCGCCAAGCCCCATGCCGCACCAACGCCCCTATCATCCTTGCGCGCACATCATGCCCACCAACACCTACCTAACGCAAGCACAACTACAAGTCCATGTTCACACCCTTGCCTACATGCCCACTCCAAAGGCACGCCCGCTAGCCACAAAACCCTTGTTGGTTAACCTCTATGAAAAATCAAGACACCCAAAACCCTTAGAGGCTAACCCGCTCAGTCCCCCACGCCCGCACCACCTGCATGTCGCCCGCAAGCGCGCCTCCTTCACCAAGTACCTCCCACGCCCGATCGTACTCATAACCGCATCAAATGCAAGGGCATAAAAAATGCATGCGTGAGTTGGGTTGGTGTGGGTTTGGGTGTTAATGAGAATGATGCATGGATGGGAGCATGGCTTGAGCGCTCATGTGCATGCTAAGGCCTATGGCCAAGGCGTTCTCATGGGCAATAATGTTGGCCCCCGTGCATGCGCCCCATGCTAGCCCTACATGAGGGCGCCCTACTTACCGCTACTTGCGCGCCCTAGTGGCTCCTGAGAGAGTGCGCGTGCCTTGTTGGCCCCATGCGCATAAGCCCTTCATGACCTTGAGTGCGTGTGAGCCAAGCCCCATGCCACACCAACGCCCATATCACTCTTGTTCGCACGTCATGCCCACCAACACCCACCAAATGCAAGCACAGCTAAAGTCCATTTTCACACCCTTGTGTACATGTCCACTCCAAGGCACGCATGCTAGCCACAAAACCCTTAGAGATTAACCTCTATGAAAAATCAAGACACTCAAAACACATAAATAGTGAAAATACATGAACGATTTTATTTTTTTAATTCCTATATTTTACCAGCTTTGATGCAAGGTCATCTTGAGTGCATGGGTGTGTAGGATTGGTGTGGTTTTGGTTGTTAATGAGAAGGATGCATAGGTTGGACCGTGGGCGCCCAAGTGTGCGAAACCCCCGCACATGGCCTTCAACCCAAAAGGCCTCCAAGGTCCCCACACGCTCGCCCATCCCCCTCGCATGCGCGCATGCTTGCCCACTCGCTCATGCCAAACCCCATCCTATGCTCGATACATGCCCTACCAATGTCTCATGCACCCTTACACACTCATAATTCTCACCAACACCCCCCAATGCAAACACACCTACAAGTCCATGTTCACACCATTGCATACATCCCCCCTTGGCACGCATGGCTAGCCACTAAAGTGTTGGATCTTACCTCCATAACAATCATCACACCTAATACCCACGAAATGTGAGTACACATACAAAGCCTTTGTAGTTAGCTTCTACAATAAATCATCACAACTAACATCGGTGGAAAATGAGAATATGTATAAAGCCTTGGACTATAAAAATATCATCACACCCAATAGCCGCGAAAAGTGAATGCACATTTATAATGCTTGTATTATTGTGAATTTTTTTTTTTTTTTTTTTGTTAGGAACTAAGAAAAGAGTGATGCTTGTAAAATTTAATTATTTTTTCTTTTGGTAATCTAAAACAATAAAATGAAGAATTTTGATACTAGAGTAGGTACATTACACCAAGATACCCACTATGAATGTGTTATTACACCCATCACCGGTTAATTGTGAAAGTACCTGTGTAGAGTTGTAAATTATAGTTAACATGAAAGAATGATGCCCAATAGTTCAGTTTTATTTATTTATTTATTTATTTACAAATCTAACTATTTTTTCAATTTTTTATTTTTTAATATTTAAAATTCATTAAAAAAAAAATTGGTTGGTGGAAAAATTCTGAAACTTGATTTCGAGACTCACTAGAATGTCCCATGAACCTCATTAAGCGTGGGACGTTGTGGCGTTGCCTCCTAGCCTCGGTCAAACCCTATGGAGACGACAGCGCGGTGGTGAGTGCCTTTGGGCATGCGACATGAGCCTTGTTGGACATCAAATGTTGTTGTGTTGCCTCCAAACCTTTGGGTGAACGTGTTGTGTTCCCAACCGAGGTACCACCCACACTTTCCTTCCCCCTTTGTACATGTCACTTGGACTGCAATTAGTGTATGCTCATGACTCTTTGTTGGGTGGGGATAGACAATGAGATAGCCAAGTCAAGCTGAAATGGTGGACTTACCTAGATGATGCTTGCACATGGTAGTTTGACGCTGGCTAGTCGATGTTTGCTTTTCACTGAGATGAGATGCCTTATGAATTCTCCCTATTCAACATAGAGAAAATTGTTTGATCACGCACGATCTTTTGGGTTTGGCTTCGTACAAAGATTTTGCACCCCACATTGTAGTTAGTGTGAATAGTTGATCGTTGCTCAAGCTCATTTTAGGCATCAAACTGTTGGCTCTAACTCCTCCTCATTGGTATATCCCAAAGTATTACCTCACGTACCGGTAGCATTGAGTCTTGTGAGTCCCTTCTATCAGCACCCTTCGTTGAATGCTTGATGAACTTAGAAGCCAGCTTCATGTATCGATTCATCCTTTTCACGTGTCGTCGCGAAACACGCATTGATTGCTTACACTCTAAGATTTCGTGTATTTGGATGCATGATGTGCTTGGGAAACCCCTCGAACATATTATCTATGTATTGTTTAATGAAGCATAAGTAAATGATGCTTGCTCCCACATTGTCCCTCCCCTCCCCTCGTAACATAAATATGGTGGTGACAATCGAATGGTGGCAACAACAATTGATCACCATAAGAGACTAGCCAAGACGATGAAGCGTCAGTGTGTTGGATCCGTTTCTCTAAATCGCCTTTAGACATCAATAAAATAATTGTGACAGAGATGTTGACACAGACGACAACACAATTCAACTATCCTCATTGAATTGTATGCACTTGTAATTTTTTTAGAGAATACGAGCTCGCTTGACTTTTATACCAGAATTTTAATGTTTCAACAACTGTTTTATTAATTGCAGTGTAAATACAACATGTTACACAAATGGATGGCAACATTAAGACCCAAAATAAAATATATTGAAACTTCGTTGAGAAAATGAAACCAACCTCAAAATATGAAAAAGAGGTTTTGTGACATTTTCATAAAAAAAACGATAAAATAACAACAATAATAATATGACTGGTGACATGCGTTTTGCTTGGGCTCCTTTAATTAGACCCGAATTTTTCGACCTGTTTGCTCATTTTCTACTCTCGGCCCATATTGCAAGCAACATCTGAAATTAGGGTTCCAAATTCGTCGCCGCTAATCCCTTGGCCTCCTTCGCCTCCATAAATATCGTCCGACGTTCTTCATTTTCCTCACGTTTTGGTTCTTTTTGATAGAATTCAGTTTGTATTTATGTTTAGGGTTTAATTTTGGTTATTGAAGTTCATCTGTGAATATTCCAATGAAGAAGCACTCCCAAAATTGATAGGAAGTGCCGTATGACACTCCAAACCGCAGCGAGAAGCCGTGGATACGCCTGTTGTTTCCCATCAGGCAGTGAACCCCGACGCCGATTCATTTCTACCGTGGAGTGGTCGGGTTGTTGGATCATTTTGCTGCTCTGCTTGGGAATTCTCAGCCGTTTTTCGTGATTCTCCTGTGTGGTTGATTTGAAACGGGTCTCTGAGGATATTGTGATTTTCTTTCTTGTTTTTGTTGATTCGGTTCGATGCCACGTCTTCGAGAGCTCAACGGCGGTGACCAACGATGCTATGATTGAACCAAAACCAAAATTTTCACATCTTGATAGGAATCTGTTCATCTTTTTGCATAGATTTACAGAGCCGTTTTGTGTGATTACAATTTTTTTTTTTTTTTAAAAAGAAAAAAATGAAGCTCGTCAGTAGTTTTTTCCAGATCTGGGACGGTTTTTTTAATTGATTTCAAAAGCCAATGATGATTTGTTCTTTTAGTTGGAATTACCGGCTGAATTTTCTTGATGTCAAGTAGACTGCTATCTGAGGCTTACAAGATTTGTTGTGTTCTTATTTTTATTTCATAACTTTGATTTATAGGAACACTAAAATTTGATCTATTTTCTCTATTCTTTAAAGGCGTGTTAGAATTGTTTGCCATTTGAATACGCATATTGTTGTGGGTTAGAATTACCTCGGCCAAGAAGGCAAGCAGACCAAGAACCTAGCATCAGTAAAAATATCACTAAGAAGTCCACTCTTCCTGTTAATAACGTGATGTGGTGTAAATAAATGTTAGTCATTGAGGGAAGTCCTGTTAGGGTACCTGAAACCAGTAGCTTCCTAACATGTGTCTGTTCATACATTGGTTGCTCGTTCCTTCTCAACCACAAATACGATAGTATTGTAATAATGGTAGAACATTTATCAATTGGTTGGATAAGAAACTTTGTTCCTTTATAAGAAGCATATGGATAGGCAGTATGGATTATTATTTGAATGGTTAGGGTGAAATTCTTGGATTTATGAAAGATGAAAAACTAATATAGCCTTTGCCATACCATCGTAGGGGTGGCCTCCAGAAAATTTTAAAAACCACGCCATACCATCGTAGGGGTGGCCTCCAGAAAATTTTAAAAACCACGACGCCATACCATCGTAGGGGTGGCCTCCAGAAAATTTTAAAAACCACGCCATACCATCGTAGGGGTGGCCTCCAGAAAATTTTAAAAACCACGCCATACCATCGTAGGGGTGGCCTCCAGAAAATTTTAAAAACCACGCCATACCATCGTAGGGGTGGCCTCCCAGACAAAATTAGAGGTGCAGTACATTACACAAGACCCACATGTACGAGTGTGAGTCCCTAGGTAATTCACACTCCCCTGGACTCATCATAGTCGAGCTAGCGTAGCGATCTTCGGAGGTCAACATACTCCAAAATGTTATGCGAGGCATGACCATTATCATCATGATAATGTACACATTGTACTCATCATCATAAATAGAGAAGCATCCTGATGTATATGAACACGCAAAATGCATGAGGTCCCTATAATTTATATTTTTAGATCATTTGTATGACACAACCCTCATTTTTATGACACAACCCTATAACCGTTAGATCATTTTTATGACATAACCCTATAACTGTTCACACATTACTCTGAGTAATATGCATGCCTTAGCCTTCATGCATTCATCATAACTAATATTAACTAGGATTGTTTTTGAAAACTCGTCATCATAATGCATCGTGACATTTAATACATACACATCATCTTAATATGCAACATCATCATATTAAGTCATTTCATTATCATACGTTGTGCATTATCTTATTATTATGCATCATTATCATATGTCACGCAACATCTTATTATTATGCATCATCATCATTATGTATATCATAACATCATTACGTCGTTATCTAACATCATCAAGTCATCATATAATATCATCACATTATCATATAGCATCATCACATCATCATCTAACATCATCATGTGATCATATAACATCATCAGATCGTCACATAACATCATCACATAACATCATCACATCATTATATAACATAAAGCATCAATGACATGTGTAAGGGCCACTGGGCACATGTCGTCATACATAAGATAATGACAAGCTATTTCGATCAATAGTAAGGTCACTTGGTTGGCTTAAGCCGAATCTACTACGACTCTTTGATGTTAGATTAACGTCTCTCTTTCAAATTTAATCTGCAAAAGGAGTTCAACCATCATAAATTAGAGTTCATTATAGGAATTGGCTCACTAAACTAACTAAGCCTAATTATGCATAAATACTTTAAAAACCTGACTCCGGTAGTAGCTCAAATTTAATTCTGCAAAAGGAGGTAGGAGCTCAAATTTAATTCTGCAAAAGGAGGTAGGAGCTCAAATTTAATTCTGCAAAAGGAGGTAGGAGCTCAAATTTAATTCTGCAAAAGGAGTTCAACCATAATAAATTAGAGTTCATTATAGGAATTGGCTCACTAAACTAACTAAGCCTAATTATGCATAAATACTTAAAACCTAACTCCAACAAGTAGGAGGAAAGGATCCGAGCGTATCAGACCTAAGCCGGATTAGCAAAAATGCCTTGAGACGTCACAAAATGTATTCTCCGACTGGCTTCGAATCGTTCAAGGATACTAAAATGATGTGAACGACCTTCTTTTATAGTGGAGGCCAACCCCCGCAATATGAGGCAATCCGTTTCTTTTTTTTTTTTTTTTATTTCAAATTTTTGGATTATTACATCATACACATCTAAAAGGAATTTTCGTTCTCGAATTGTCTTATTCTTGAAATTACTCGAGGTATTTCTCCCTCATCTATAAGGAACTTACATCATACGCATGAAAACTTTCGGTTAGCTCGAAAGTGTCTTATACTTCGAATTACTTGGGGATGATTTTTTAAAGACCATTTTTCAAGTACAGAAGACCCTTATACTTCGAATTACTTGGGGATGATTTTTTAAAGACCATTTTTCAAGTACAGAAGACCAACACTTCTCGGGCTAAAATTCTTATTGGTTTTTCTTGTAACTTGGGTCATGGCCTATCTATAAGGACTCGTAATCTACGACGTGAGTCAGGTCATCCAACTTAGGGATGAGATAAATAATCTCATGTTTCTTTCCTAAATATGAGGTAGGATGCTTACTTTTTTTAGTTGCCTTAGTACTCTAATTAGTTATCTATTCATAACATCATTAAACTTTACTAACCATCATATATCATCAAACACATCTTTATACAATGTCTAAGGCCAGCAATTTCCTTAACTTTCAAAAGTTCTTGAATATATTGCCACGTAGGCCAATTCTTTCCTCTTGATGACCAGAGTTATTGCGCTCTCTTTCCCCATATTTGATTATGTATTAAATTTTTTGTAAGGAAGGAAAACCTCTTTCTTTTTCTTTCTGTAGGTGATTCGGGAGCAGATGCGTCTCTATCTTTGGATTCGGAGTCGATTTTCCTGATTCTGGGTAAGAGGTTTTGTGGGTAATATGCAATGATAATAACACAGATCACCTCTTTCTTTCCTATTCAGGGTCAGATGTTATGTGAGTAATAGTCTTTCATGGTCAAATCCCCCCTTGAAAAAATAGGATGCTCCGATTTCATTTTCCTATTCCGGGTAAGATGTTTTGTGGGTAATAAGCAATGTATATTACACAGAAACTCGCATAATTCTGCCCTAGAAAAACAAACTCTAAGGAGTGTGAAGTCCTAACTTAGTAGTTTATGTGCCTATGGTTGAGTCTTCCTCAACTTTGCTAAATTATTTGTCCATATTCTTAAGAACTGCAAGCAAGTTTAAGGTTAAGACTTTTTATTGAAATCAACCCTTTATGTTGATATTAACGTTGGAATAACTTATATATAATATTTAATCTTAATTCAAAGGCTCGTGTAATAGCCACCCGATATACAAAAAAGAAAAATAAATAATAAAAATAAATAAATAAATAAAAGAAAGATTGAGCGCAGTTGCCAGAAAATGTGAGAATTCCAGCAACCGCCGAAATTCTCGTGTCCTCAACCAAGACCACACTCCCTCACTCCCCACACCGCTCCCGCCTGCTCAATGTCAAGGAGAGGAAAAGATAGAGAAACATGAGTTAGAGAGAGAAAAATCGAAGCATCTTTTGGCGAGCCTAAAACCAATCACCCTGACTTCTGAAACGGGCAACCTCGACGACTGTACAACCACCTAAGATATGTTTATGCGCCTCTCCAATGTCCATTGACGTCGGTAACAAGAGATAGATTTAATTTTTAGAAATCTCATGGATCTATCAATGTAGGTGATTATGAGCCACAAAACTCTGTGGAAGAGAAAAGGAGAGGTCAACAAAAAGACAGAGGAAGAAAAGAACCAAAAAAGACATCGAAAACGACCGCGGGGAGGAGAGAGAAGGGAAATTGGAAAACTGCAAAGTCGGGTGAAGAAGAAAGGATCCATCAGATCTGGATCCGGGTCGAACTCAAACCACAATCCACTAACTCTGCCCAACACATGCATCAATCCAGATCTGTAGTCTAACCCGTTGACGAATCGTGTACGCTTGTAGTAGTCCAATAACCCGAGGCCCACACTGAATGTTTGGCCCAATCCACCTACTGCAGCTAAAGCCTGCAGCACTCGTGCACCCGCGTCATCTGACCTGAACCTGCGCTTCGATCCGAGAAGAGTACTGTGACGCATTCCTCTCCCTTGGTAACACATGTCATGCTTGCAGAAAAACACCTCTCGGCTAAAAAATGGCTCCGACGACTTGGTTTCACAAATTGGACACCGACCCCTCCCCCAGAGCTGATTTTGACCCTTATTGAAGTAATAGAGGTCATTAGAATGCCTTATTTCACAATTTTAAGTTGAATTTTATTGTAATTGTGAAATACTAACAAAGACGATGAACAGCGTAATAGGAAACGAAGTAATTTGCTTGATGAATGACAATATGTGCCTAGTGCACTGACATGTATGCTTTATGCTTTATAATTATGACGTATGACATATGACCTATGATATATTATGACATGTATGAATTATATGATGTTGTGTGATGATGTTTGATGATGTGTTATGATTATTATGACACGTTTCAATAGCATTATGATGACTATGCATGATCTTATTAACTTAATATGACATTATTTTCTATATTAAGTTAAGATATATGTTCTGAATGCCATATTGCATTATGTCCATAACTCGACCTAGGAAACAACCCTACAAAAAATTATTTATGATGTTAAGATGGAAAGCTAATGCACATATATTACTATTAGTAATATAAGAATGAAAGTAGGGTTGTGTCATAAAGACGTTTAAAGACGAGAAACATAAGAACCTCATGCATTTCTGTATGTACATAAGCATCGGGATATTTTCCTTTTCATAATGATGAACATGGACACGTACACTACGATGATGGGCCTAGGAGGGTGTGAACTGCCCAAGGATTCATGCCTTGCACATGTGGGTCGTGTTTACGGAAGTACTACCCATCCAATTTAGTTCGGACTAGAGGCAACCCCAAGGATTTTTTAATGAGAGGTCCCTAGTGTTGGGTTTTATGTCCTAAAACTCATAGTTTGTAAACAAAAACATATTCTATTTTCAATGAACTATTATTGTTGTTTATTCAGTAAAGACTGTTATTGAATAAAGTGAACTTCACGATCATTAATCTAAATCCAATAAAATAAGAACACTCTGGCTATAGTATGATTACTTGAACTATATGTAGAGACATAAGAGTGGATCAAGTTCAAGTATATAGTCAAAATGATCTATAGTATAAGGATAAGGCTGAGTACCTTATTCTGGGAACACTATGGATGCGGCCCACTTTTGTATATGATATAAACAATGTGATCACT